ATATCAGGAATTTAAACTGACAAGGCTTTAAAATGCATGCAGATATTTTGTTTGTTGTTGCTGGAGTATCCACGGCAAGAGCTGTAAAGGCATAGCCCTCTTCTGGGAGCTCATTTACATTTAAAGAGACACACACAAAAATAATGTGTTTTCGCTTAGATCAGGGTTTCCCAAACGGGGGTTTGCAAGGGAATTTCAAGAGGGTTCTTGAGTTGATGAAATGCTAAATTAAATTATCAAACTAAATTGTAATTAAATCATAAAGTTTACACACATAAATAATAAAAAAAATAGTGCTTATAATTAGTAATAAAGTAGTGTTTCTGCTGTTCCATAAGCACCACTTGCTGTCAGAGAGTGGATTTACATTTTCATTCAGCCTTTCTGCTGTTTTTGTTCAGGTCAATGTAAAAATTGGACCAAATTTTTTTTTTAAATCTTAACTGTTAAATGGAAAACAATCTAATGTGCACTCAAAAAAATCTCAACACTTCAATAATAAGGTAGTCTATGTAGAACTGCTTATTAGGGCTGCACGATTATGACAAAAATCATAATTGTCGATTATTGCCTTGAAATTGTAATTGCGATTATTAATTACAAAAAAAGCATCTTAAGCACACAGAATAACACAAGTGGACTTTGAACGATTAATTGCCGCTTTGAACGATTACGTAATTGTGGCATCCATAATTGTAATCGCGATTAGAAATTCGATTAATTGTGCAGCCCTACTGCTTATAGAGTAGGGCTGTCACTAACAATTATTTAGGTAATTGAGTAATCTGTCGATTATTCTGACGATTGAGTACTCGGATAATTAATAATTAATTTTTTTGTCATAATAAAAATAGACCTAAGCGAACAATAGCCTTTAAAATGGCTTCAAATACATATATAATAGCAATTAAGTAAGGGATAATAAACGGCTTGCCGTGCATTAAAGGATTTTAAATGCAGACGCGGAGGCAAAGAACCGCCCGACCTGCTTATTCCATGGTTATTTGCCAAGTTATGGACAAGTTAAAAGTAGTATTGCTCCATGCAGCGCAATATTTGACCGAATGGGTAAAAATTATGGTTATTTTCATCAGTTACAGCTCGTTAGCTTCTAGCATTCTGCCCGCTTCAAATCAGACACAGATGAAATAGTGAAATAATGAAATGTATTTGAATTAATTATTGATCGTTTGTTCGAGAGAGAGAAAGAGAGATGACAGTTGAGTGTGTGAATTACCTGTGCGTCTCTCTCTACAAACAATGAAGTTGTGAGTTTAGTTACTTAAACAGAGATTTTACCTCCTCGTTGCTGAGGAATATAATGCAGTGATCCAGTAGCCTATCTAAGCCATTTTATTAATAAAAGTCGTGGGGGCGCCTGTGTTTGTGTAGGTTTATAAATGATTTACCTTACACATCTGATGAAATGGCGCACGTTGCATTTCCAGTTGAACGTTATAATAAACCCAAACTCACAGCAATATGCAGAGATTCATTTTAATTAATTAATTCATTTATTTATGCATTTAGCAGACGCTTTTATCCAAAGCGACTTACAGTGCATTCAGGCTATACATTTTTTACCAGTATGTGTGTTCCCTGGGAATTGAACCCACGACCTTCTGCGCTGCTAACACAATGCTCTACCACTGAACCACAGGAACTCAGAGAGTGGAAGAGATGGAGTTTGAAATGCTCCACGCATGTAAATGATAACAGTTCGTTTGGAGCAGCATTTACTGTGAACGGAGCCACTTTGAGAAGCACGTATGTAACCTACACGCATGTAAATAATTAAAGCGCATATATTAAACCGGCATTGCATATATTTAATTGAATCATAGCGTTTGTGAATTCACAAAGTTTAATATAACACTCAGCCTTGGAAGACGGTCTAATAAAGATTTTCATGGATTCTCATCTGTGAAATGCGCCACTTCTGGTATTTTGCCGATTACTCGGTACGTACCTCGGTTTTGATGTCACGGTTAGGTACCGTTTCAGTACAGCAGGGGGAAAAACTAAACACACTTTTTTTTTTTTATTAAACAGTGGTTTACTGAACAAATTGCTCTCTTTAAATAAATTCAGTTATAATTCAAATTTTCTTAGGGATAAAAATCTACCTCGGCTTATGCTCTAAACTATAGTGAGCTGTTTTACATTACCTACTATAAGGTTACAGTTAACAAGAGAGCCCAAACTTAAATTTAATTACAATTTATTTTTAAATCTAACAAGCAACACTCATCTTAAAAAAAGGTATGCAAACATGTAAATTGCACATAATGCAGTTTTTAAATTAACTTCTAAATTATAAAAATTATATATGTTGTTGAAATATATTCATTTACACAGTGCCTCTCATAACTCGTTTCATAACAGATTTATTTAAACATTAAATAATTAAGACATCACTAACAGGTAGAGTAAAATATGAGTATATAGTCTAATATTTCATGAAATGCTCTTCTCTAGACTTCATTTATAGCGCACTAACGAGCTGTGGACACTGATGACTTGCCTGAGGTAAATGAAATGCTTTGTGACATTTTGTTTACAAGCTGTTTTTTAATGCCGTCTTTCCGCGGTTGAAACACTGATTGAGTGATTACGTGAGGCACGAGATGTTCGTTCATGTTTATTTCATGTTAAAACTAGTAAAAAGGAAGGGATGATCGCGCTCCCATTTGAACGGAGGCGTTTATACAGCGATCTGTCGCGCCGCATCAAAGAGCGCCAAAACGGAATTTATTGTTTGAATTTCCTGAAAAAAGGACATAATTTGAAAGATGAAACTTTGTTTCTTATCAGAAGTAGCAATATATAAAACTAAAAGTTTCCAATGAAGTTCCACTTGTGCAGTGGTTAAAACATGTTGTATTTGTTCGGTACACATGCATACCGAACCGAAAGACCTGTACCGAAAATTTTCAGTACAAATACGTGTACCGTTACACCCCTAATTGTAAGTCACCCAAACCATATTTTTTATTTGTTTAAAATCCGCAGATTTTCAATATAAAACTTGATGAAATGATTTCAGTGTGTGTTTGAGTACTTTTTGAACATTTCCAGCACATTTTAACAATACTGTGATAATACTGATAACTGTGATCATTTTGGTCACTATAATCGAGATATGAAATTATGCCATTTTATTCATAATAACAATAGCTATGTAAAGTAATTCTAAGAAAAAACTTTAAAATGGATTATATATATACAGGGGTTGGACAATGAAACTGAAACACTGGCCAATATAGTGTTGGAGGTTTCATGGCTATATTTGTGCAGCCTGGTGGCCAATCTTCACTGATTGCACATTCCACCAGTAAGAGCAGAGTGTGAAGGTTGAATTAGCAGAGCAATAGCACAGTTTTACATAAACTATTGCAATGCACACAACATAATGGGAGACATATCAGAGTTCAAAAGAGGACAAATTGTTGGTGCGTGTCTAGCTGGCGCATCTGTGACCAGGACAGCAAGTCTTTGTGGTGTATCGAGAGCCACGGTATCCAGGGTAATGTTGCCCAGAGTGAAGCATGGGGGTGGATCAGTGATGGTTTGGGCTGCAACATCATGGCATTCCCTAGGCCCAATACTTTTGCTAGATGGGCGCGTCACTGCCAAGGACTAACGAACCATTCTGGAGGACCATGTGCACCCAGTGGTTCAAACATTGTACCCTGAAGGTGGTGCCGTGTATCAGGATGATAATGCACCAATACACACAGCAAGACTGGTGACAGAGTGGTTTGATGAACATGAAAGTGAAGTTGAACATCTCCCATGGCCTGCACAGTCACCAGATCTGAATATTATTGAGCCACTTTGGGGTGTTTTGGAGGAGC